TAAAATGTGTAAAGCCTTATAAATAGGTCGGTATATTCTCTAAACGTATTATACATTTTGTTTTCTTAATGTAAGGAATGTCAAGAAACAAGTAGGTATCACGGTTATCTAGCTCGATTACATACTGTCAAATTTTGTGTTTTAGCTCATATGAGCCACATGTGTATTTAATTTGAACTTGCACAGCGCATGCTTTTGACTTTTGTGGGTTTTTCGTGTTTTCCCTCAGTTGTGGAAAGGATTGAAATAAAAATATGTACATGTATTATCATTTTGGACAAAAACGAACAAATTATTCGTAAGGAAACGAAGAAACAATATTTATTTACGAATAAAGGAAGATGGGAGATATGCTTTAGAACTATCCTTAAATGTATAGAATTGTACCTATTTAAGGTAGATGGGGGTCTAAATTAAAATCCATAGAATTGTTTAATAATTTGTCAAAATGTAGTTTAAATCATGTTTTTTTTCTCAAAAATATAATAAAACGTATGGGTCACCGGGCTTTTTTCACGCTACAGGTTGTGCAAAATTGTCAGATGTTGTATAGATTATGCATTTAAAACCCAATTTTGTGTGATCAAAAGAAAACTACACCATATAATTTTATGATAAAATATGAGAAGATAGCTCTTATAATATGCTTTCAGATAAGGAAAAGAAAAAATGGGGTCACCGGACTCGTTTTCTTGTTACATAACAAAATAGGTAAATTCACAACACATTCTATTATAAAAGTTACTTTATCTGAGTTATCTCCCTATATATCTGAGTTATCTCCCCTTAAGTGGCAAAGTTGGAAAAAAAATAATCAAACAATAATATTCTGTTCTTTATAAAATACAGCCGTAAATATGACAAAACACACAATTTTCTATATTATTATGAAAAGTCTTACACATGAATTGTAACTACTCTCGAAATTTGCACATATTATTAAAGATCTAAACCGTGTGTTATCTACTATTTCAAAATCCAAGATAGAGGAAGACACCCCAGCTACCTTAATTGAACATACGTTGAAGTAATTAATCAAAACAAAAAAATGATCTTTTTTTTTCTTTTTTTCTTTAGTTTGGTCGGAAGTTGAGAGGAGGTGTCTGACAACTGCCACTGACACGTGTGACAATAAACTAGGTTATGGAGAATGTACTTGTTCGACAACGTTCTGCAATGGAGAAAATAAATTGTCAATCAAACCATTAACAGTGCTGATTATTTCTGTCTTTTGTATGGTGTTGTTCCTGTAAATAGCAGAGAGTAAACCAGAAACTTATGGTCTTATAATAATTCTTTTAGTGTTATGCATTATGTAAAAATCAACACAATAGATTCGTGCTACTTATTTTTGTCTGAATTTTGTAAACCTTATAGACAAAACATTCTAGTATTGTACCTTGTTTGTATTCTTAAACGCTTTGACACCCACATAGTCTTGATTTAACACATTAAAAAATGGCCTCCCCCCTTTTTTTTAAAGGATGACGAATCTTCTTCCTTTTTAGCCTGGTTTCGTCGATGCCTTCTAGCAATTTCAGTGAATGTGATTTCGATTAATATAATACACTCTGATTGTCTTGTGTTTCTTTTATCGTCAAAAATATTCCCTTTCTTGCTAAATAATACAATCGCAAATTTGCTTCTGAAAAAAAAAAGAAAACATGCATCTAGTTTATGGTATTTTATACAATTCAATATGCAACCATTTAGCTCTCATTCTTATCACATAATACTAATAGTATCTTTCCCTAACAAAGTATTGGAATTAAACATATCCTTTAGATTAAAAAAAACACGGTGGTATCCAGTTTTATAATTTTTCTGTAAAATGCATGATATTAACTATATTTTGGCAAAGTATAAAAAAAATACATAATTGTTGTTTATACTCTATACTACCTTATGTACTTGTATTTTAACAATGGCTTCCAACTTTTGGTAGTTTTGGGCGTTCCTGATGAAGGTAAATCCACGAAGGCGCGTCAGATGCATCAAATTAAATAAAAATACTATTCTATTTTTAGTGTATTATGTTCTTCGATGCATTTGCACAATGTTAAAGGCGTACGGCGACCTATAGTTGCATACGTCCACTTCATTTGGACTCTAGTGGACATTCTTCCCAAATCTCCTTTTTTTAAATGAAAGGTTGGAGCAAAAGTTTGGCGTATTTTCGAACATGTTACCACAATAAAAATGCTTAAAAAATGGCTACACTAAATCCCTGCCTGGGATGTGTTTTAATTGATTTTAGTCTCTGATGCAGGATTTTTTATTATTAATTGTTTTTGGCTTCTAGCTTTCAGTAACTGCAAGTACTCTCAAATCGTACTCTCGTGTTAATTTGACCTGTTGACACAATTTGTAATGCATTTCTGTTATTCAATGTTTACTTATTTTGTGTTATATCTCGTCTTACTATTTCTAATATGTACCACCTTTGATAAGTACATTTGTATTTAGTATGACTTCTGCACTATGAATAACCGATTTACTTTGTAAAAAATGTTTCTGTACACCTAACAACAAAATTATTGTATTTAAATTTACCTGTGTACGTTACTTTATTTAACGCCATTTTGTCCTAGGTTAAAGTTGTCTTTTTGACATTGAAACATCTTTTTTATTTAAATTGTGTAATAGATCAAACTTATTCGTTCAGTGTATCTTTACATGTTTTTGTGTATTGTCTTTTTGATCGAGTTAAGCCATTTCAATTGATATTTTATTGTGTGTCTTTTTATATTGCAATGTTTTACCACTGTTTCAGGTTAGGGTGAATTTTGGCGCCTGTTAAAACATTTAAACCCGCTGCATTTTTATGCACCTGTCCTAAGTCAGGAGCCTGTTGTTCAGTGGTTGTCGTTTGTTGGTGTGGTTCATAAGTGTTTCTCGTTTCTCGTTTTTTATATAGATTAGACCGTTGGTTTTCCTGTTTGAATTGTTTTACACTAGACTTTTTCGGGCCCTTTATAGCTTGCTGTTCGGTGTGAGCCAAGGCTCCGTGTCGAAGGCCGTACTTTGACCTATAATTGTTTACTTTTTACACATTGTGACTTGGATGGATAGTTGTCTCATTGGCACTCATACCACATCTTCTTATTTATATCTACAACTGCAATCTTGACAGATTTAAAAAAAATTGAATACTTAGGACATCGAAAACGAAATGCTATTTGAAGTAATTCTATATATAGCTTTTCAGATACAGATTCATTCCTTTTGTTTCCAACTCCATCAGGCAAAAGTTGATCTTAGCAGCTTTAGAAATATTCTTGTGTGGTCCCTTTTGGTCGTATACATGTAGCTCTTCAAGTGTTCAAGTAGTTCTACATCATTAGCTTTCAACTCTTTGGGTTCCTGATAAAGGTATTTCCACAAAAGCGCGTCGGACGCACCAAATTTATAAAGCGCTACATTTGTATTCCAAGTTTTGTTTCATAGTAATCCTTCGATACAAAAGATTACAAAGGCATGTTCAAATTGCAACATTGTCTTTAACGACCCCCGTTAACTGCAAAGTTCGATTCTGTAGAAATATTGTAAAAAAAGATAAATCGTTTTTTAGAGATAATTTATAGACCCTTCATATTCGTATTCCAAAGTTCGAACACCCTTCTGAAATTTAACCATGCGAGTGATTGACCCTCAGAGAAACCTGTTATAAAATTCAGTTACACGAGATACCTCATCTTATAAATTTATCTTATTCTTTTAAATCGAAAAAAAAATCTGTTTGGTAAAATAATTCCTTGGTAATAGATACAATAATATAAATATCTTTTTTTCTAAATGAAAATTGCCTTACATTATTACAGTTAAAAACTATATAGCAACCATTTCCGTTAAACTATAACTGAGAAATACTCCCAGACTACCTTATAATATTACATTATAACATGTACATGACGACCGACAGCAATAATTGTGTTCTGTAAGGTTTTCAGTTTTATGTCTTTTTGGCACTTTTGGTATTCAAGATACCATGCTTTCATCGAACGTACATGAATAAATGGTTTTATACAAAATCATATAATTCCGATGGAACCGGAAGAACTTCTTTATATCTGACGGGTGCACATGATGAACTAAAGCAATGGTATGAAAGTTCAAACATAAATGATAAATTGTAATATTCTTCCGTAAGTGAAACACTTTCTCCAAAGAAGTAGCGATTATCAATAGTATTATTCTATGTGGTCAGACTTAAGGGTCTGTCAAAACAAGTTAGCTCTGGTTATACGGTATTTCTTTCATATTTTTAATTTGGAAAGCTACAATAAATCTACCTTACAAACACTCGGCTATAAATATATCAATCATTAAGAAAAAGTGCATGTACATAACACATCTAAGGACAAAATCTACGATGGCCTGAGGACAACACATCAACAACTTCATTATAACCATAGACCATACAACATTTGATCGCGAATCTGTTCCGTAATCAATCATCTCCTCTAGGAAGTCAAAATAGTATTTCCAATATCGTAGCATGTTATTTAACTGTTTATATTGGTTGTTGGGGATTTAGCAGTTGTTTACTTGTTTACTTCTTCAAAAGTTTTCTAATTTTGGTTTCAAGATAAGATATTTTTTTCCTTATCATATCTGAAATAGCCATGGAAAAGAGTGTGTGAATATATTATCACTAATGACTTAGGTAGGTATACTTATATACATTTGTACATTAGATCGAGTTTGTCAACGTTGTCGTGTTTTGTCATAACTATTCCATATCTCCTTTTGCATTATTTTTTCTTGTATCAAAAATCCTAAAATAACATTTTTTTTATATGAATTGTATCTATGGAAAAATTTTGACAGATATGATATGCAGATTACAAGCAATATGTGAATATGTCTCTGGACCTGCAAAAACGTAACTTGAATATTTTATTAGTGAATTTCATGCTTATTTCAATGTTATATCCCATCTGCTGTCAGTGAATATTCGTATATAATCTTTATGATTTTATCATTTAAATATTGATTGCTATTGTAGAAAATGAATCTTTTGTTGGTGTTACCATTTTTCCTGTGCATTTCATATTGTCATTCTGAAGTCCATCTCGAAGAACTAAAGCCCAAAGAACTTGTGTGTAAGTATATATACATTTCTTTTTGTATGTTTCAAACAAAGAATTTTGGACAACGTAATGAAATTGGGATATGTAGGGTCCGTTTCATATTTCAACAATATAAAAATACCACGAGTGTTAAATATTTAAAGACATAGGAACTCTATCATATATAACGCATACTTTCGTGCTTGCCTGATTGCGCATATAAGTTTGATATATAAATACGTTTGATAGCGATGGACTTTGTTCAATATAAAAACTATCTTTGTTAAAAATTGACGAAAATGAACTTTCGTAAATCTGAATATAAGTTCAATTTGATAATAAATTTTTTTGTTTTTGTGTTACTTGAGATCGGTTAAAACCAGACGATATAAATATATTATTTTAGTATTGAATGTGGCAGTGAAAGCGAGGCTACTTGAGAAGCTATCTGAAGAAACTGACAAAATCCAATTTGAACGGAACGAGTTAGTCAACCGTCATAAGGCATGTCTACTAAATATTTCGTCTACAGCCAAAGCTTGCAAACAGTGTGTTGTAAACAAATGTGAAAACAGGTAAAACTTTTATCATTTACGTAACGACAAATTCATCTGTATATGCAGAATATTAAATCAAGTCATGTATATGACATTTCAGTTTTTGTCTCACTTTAGTCTTTTGTTTTCTCCCTTTGAAACGATGCGATGCTTTGCGAACGTTTTCTTAATTGTCAGTCAAATTGAATGGCAATGCGCTCTTATGTTTTGTTACCTCTTGTATTATATTTGTATCACTTAAAAATAGATCTTTGTCATCGAAATACATTTTAACAAAGCAATTACTTCCACTGTACATCGCAGTTCAGTGCCACAAGTTCAAAGGACAATGTCTTAAATATTTGTACATGTTTACTATATTGTAGAGGAAAGCAATGTCAACTGTCATCAACAGATTTACAAAAAATTAAAGATGAATTTGACAATAAAGAAATACCTGGAGTGGACTTTTTAAGCCCCCCAACTGTTGTTCAAGAGGAAATACGAGAAATAAAAGAAACCGCAGAAAAAAATATTATGAAAGATGTCCCGGTAGATTTAAAGCCAAAAGGGGAAGAAATAATCGAAAAAATGAAAAAAGGAATGAAGGTATTCCATAAAAATCTTGGTCAAGCTGTGAATAAATTACCCGATTTATTACCGAAAATAGAACAAAACATAGCATCTATGAGTTCACAGATCGACATCAATGCTGTAGAAGACATGGCAAATCAGGCCGCTGGTCAGATTTCAGAAACAATGAATGACCCAACATTTAATGGAATACGAGCTCATGTCGTTAACAGTAACAATATGCTGAAGCAAAATTTACCATCTATCATGAAGGCAATGGGAAATACATTATCAAAGTTAAAGTTAGCTGTTGGCAGATTTGTTGGAGTTGTAAGGGTACAAGCAGGAACCGCATGGAAACAAGGTATAAAACGTATTCAAAATTTCAAGCTTTGTTTAAACTTAGAATAATGGTGAACTTAAACATTTACATCTGACCTTACAATATTATCAATCAGTTGCACAATGTTTTAAATTCCCGTTGTGACCTAGAGTCAAAAGTCAATCTGAGAAAACAAGACAAACAAGTTATTTTATATTTGGATATTTGTTTTTACGCTTAGAAAAAACTGAAGAGTTATACATTATGGACCAGGAAATACAAAGTCAATCTTTGTTATACCAAATTCCTTTGTCTTTTATACTTGGAAAGAGGTCTTCCATCTTTGAACATAAATCAAAATTGAAAAGCTTTTCAAAACATGAAAATGACGGCAATATAATGCGTTATGCGTATATATATGTTATGATCTATTACCTGTGGTGGTCAGACTGAGTCTTATATTTTTTAAGCATGAATATCTGTTATATGTTAAAAACAATATATATCATTCTTCTTCCTGACATTTAATCTTTTAATTATGTAAGTTATAAGTTAATTATAAAGAGTTGGGGTTTTACATATGTATCGATTATAGTAAACAAATGTTAAATTCATTTTTGATACCCAAAGATATCAACATTTTGTTAGTTGTGTATAAGAAGGAACAATGACCAAACGAAGATATCAAGTAAATATAATTATTGATACTGGATACAATATTAAATATATTATCATTTAAAGTTCAAGAAACCAACGCAACGGTTCATCCGACCCAATTCCATCTAAAGAAAATCATAAAGCAACATTGTAGCGTAACCAAAAAGGCAGAAATTTCTCTGAAACTCTAAAGCGAAATACTATTGTGCCTTTGATGGAACGATGATTTAAAACAGCTACAAATTAAGTATTAAAGAGGTAAATTCAGGGAATCTGAATATTCCCCTCAAGGTGATGAACAAAGTTTAACTCTACCTCTAAGCAAACGGTTTTGTAAGTTTGTTTACTACTTAAATACTAGTATGATTTTTACTCGGTGTTATTTTTGATATGAGAACTTGTCTTCCTTTAGCTGCCACAGATTTGCCAAATCGAACCAATATGGCTACAAATAGTCAGCTTTCCAATACCAATATGGGTATGTTACCTCAACCATTCAACTTAAACCAACAACAAGCTGTGAATGGAGAGCAGGCAATGTGGAGTTCTGGAGCACAGAATCAACAATCAAACAATGTACAGTTTCCACAACAACAAAATGGACAATTTCAGCAATCACCAGGTTTTTCCAACATACAGCCTGCAATGGCCCAAGGAATGACAAACTGGCGGAAGAGGAGACATGCCGATGTACCATGTGATCAGATAAAAGCTAGATCTTACGAGGCATGCCATTCTTACCATTTCTACTGTCCGTCTTGTATGAACGAAAGGACTATCTTAGAACATGGTAGGTTTAGGGAGTTTAATATTTAAAGCAATATGTAAGAGCTAAAGGAACTACAAAATATTGGAAACATGAGCAAGCTATATATATAACCCATAACAACACAAAAGTTTAAAAAACAGACAATTGCTTACATCCACTTCATTTGAACTTCGGTGGATAGTTGTCTCATTGGCAATCACACCTCATTTCCTAATTTTTATATACACATTATTCGAAGATCTTTTCTCAAACTATATCATATGTCATGAGTTCATACTAGTACTATAAAATATTTTTTTAATATACCGGGTAGTTCAAGCTGTTCTACATAAACTTAAGTCTGTAATAATGTGATATTGACTTTCACATAACTTAAGTTTTATTGTTTTGTAAGACAGTGACATGTACAATTAAGCTTGATAGGTGTTAGTATTCATTAGAAAAAGGAAAGACAACATCTTCATTTATTAAAGAAAAAAGACAAATTGAATGATTTTTTTTTTCAGATTGTGGTCGAGGAGCACTTGTTGCTATGGTAGCCATAAAGGAGTTAGATCTACAAGCAGGAAACGATGTAATAAAATACAGACAGTATATGGACAATGAAGAAGTGATTAAGAAGGTATATTATATATATAGTTATGGTTGAACTATTTAGTTTCTCATTTAGCTCTTTCCTTCTTTTCATCTTGTGCTGTTGTGAATTATTGTGGCATAAAAGTACTTTAATTCACCTATAGAGATATGCATTAGTCCTAGCCTACCAAAAGATTGGGAACATGACGTAGTATATTCGTTGCTTCCATAGTTTATTGTTTATAATATTATTATAATTATTTCCTTAATTTTGATTACAATCTACAGTATGGCATAAGGCGTTTATACTGTAGATAGTAAACATACTGTCAGAGTCTTCCAATCTTTATTCTATCGGATTAGCATATATCTGAGTTCCTTGTTTATCCTACTTTGATGAAGACCATAGAATGTTTATTTTCTTTTCAAGGAACCTTTGATGGTATAGGTGTGATAACTAGGGATTTTATTTTAATCACATAGACAATTTTAAAGAAAATGGCGATATTGAAGTGATGTTTATTTTTTCAAACTCTCGAACTTGGAACTGTGTTCCATAAACTATGAAACTTTATACTAACTAGAATATGTATTATATGCACAGGTTCATTATGATAAGAAAAGCCTGAATCCAGAAAATGGGATGTACTCCAGAGCTTTTGTCACAGTTCAAATTGGTGAAGAAAACAAGATATTCGGGACCTCCATGCTTCCTGATATTCGGAACATAAAACATGCTGGATTTATACTAGGTGATGAACTCTGGGATATCTTGCAGAGTAATGAAGACTCTGCGTCAGTTCATATTGCACAAACTCCGGAATTTCATAATGTTAAGGCAGAATTTCTGAAAAGTGAAAATACTAGTTCTTCTGCTGTTGTGTATGGGACAGTCTGGGGAGTCGTTATTATGGTCATGTATATGGGAATAGTTGCTATATCTGTCATGGTATGACCTCTTCATTCCAAGATTGTCATATGTATCCCCTAATTGAAAAGACTATTTGGCATTATAGTTATAAACAGTAAAAGTTAATGCGATTTATACATGATCGCAATAATAATATTTTGTAGTAATCCGCTAGGCAATTCCTTAAAATATTGTGTTTGTAAGTGCTGATAGTTTAACCATTGTATTCCTTTAATATTTGGGCTTTCTGAAATAGTGTGATTGGTTGATGAATTCAACTTTTTAAAAATAGATTGTTTGTAGAAAATTTTGAAATCCTGGAACACCGTAAAGTTTAATGCTAGTCTAGTTCTGAATAGTTCTTTCAACGTTTTATTATATTTATCAGAACATATATCATCAGTCCCATACGTTTGATAATACTTGGTAATTATTCTTTGAACATTTAAAGACCACAGCAAAGCTGTTTATAAAACACGATCAATATCTTCTGGGAACAATAACATTATAGGATAAACACATTTTTGTCAGGAGGTTATTGATGACTTCATATAGCAAATCATCTCACAATTACGAAGTGTTCTTCATACCTATATGTTCAAGTTTAATGATGTAACATTTTTATGAAATTTTATATATTTTTCATTGAAAAATGTTGTTTTTGGAAAGATTTCTTGGATAGTTTTTAAAATATAGACCTTTGAATATTGAGGTATTTTGTTAGTAAATTTCGAGTGGCCGCCATCTTGTTCAATATGTAACCCCTTTTGCACGACTGGAGTGTTCTTCAAAACGATATGTCTCAGTTTAATAATTTAACATTCTTTTAAAATCTTCTATTTTTTGTCATGGTAAATGGCTATTAATCAGATTTAAAAAAAAATTAAATTACAATGTACTTTGAAATACGCAAATAACTACTTTCTTCGTATATCAGAGATTCGAATTTAAGTTTATTGTTGGGTGGTAGCTTTACACGGGAGGCGTATGTATTTAATTAAAATCAATAGAGACGAGGCCCGTTAGTATAGAAAGTCCCTGACTGGACCGCTGCCACATAAATGTCACATAAAAGTCCCTTTGAACGTTTACTCAGTTTGTGAGTTTGGACTTTTTCTGTAAAGTTTTTAAGTCAGCGGCCCAGTTTACACATCAACAACCTCTAGAAAAATGTGTTTAATTGTTATAATTCCCCACCAAAATTTTTTTTTATTATAATTTCAACTTTCATGGATTCCGTTCATTTTTATCGCACATACATGAACATCACAGGAAAATCCACATAGTGTTTACATAGGCTACGAAAGTAGTTGCGACAACATGGTCTATTGAGGTGTAAACCAAATTTAACAATAATTCAATAATATCATTTTTTTATCAAAACTATGTGTTTTTGCATTGTAATATGTATTAGCATTGGATGTTTATACTAATGATATAAACATGTTATTGGTTACACTTATAATTGTAGTCATCGTAATGTAATATTTAAAGCCTCATTTATGTTTTCATATTCAAAATGATTTTAAAATTCAATATTCAGTTAAACGATATTCTTTCTTTCTTTCTTTTTTTTTTATATTTTGGCTTTTTTTTAATATATACCACTTTAGGTGCTTTTAAAATTCCTATACTCTTTTTAAATTAATGCATTTTTAAAACTGTTATTTGTCGTTTTGTAAAATCTTTGAAAACCATCATTCTTCTATGGTTTCACCAAAGATAATCAGAGTTTATGAATTCTATTCTGGTAATGTGCGACTTTGTCAACTTTTGCCTTGGCTTTCAAATGTTTCTTTTTGTTTGAGCGTTCCTGATGAAGGTAAATCCAGAAAAACGCTTCGGACGCACAAAGTTATTTAAGTGTTTTTTTTCATTGTAATTCTAGTAATATTTCATTAGGTATAGGTAATAACGGTACCAAGTTTACTGCACCAGAGGCGTATTTGTCTAATATTATATGTTTTACTCTTCTTTTAACCATATAACCTTAAAGCTAGAGTTTTTGATAAAATTTATTATCAATTGTATATATGAGCTAATATAAAGCAACTGCATTTATTTTTGTTCAAAAGAAAGAAATAATGATGATTTCAGAGCAATAGAAATACGTTATTATTGCAACTTTTTTCATGGATTTATAATACGATATTGTCATTTTAATCAAAATGGGAAGCTTGATTTGGCAAATCTATTTATAACAACAGAGGATTATCATTAACTTAAGGTGTTTTGGTGCCTTCAATTTCATGTATAATTTGAAAACATGATTTATGTGAAATATATGTTTTTCTGTACATTTTCCGAAAGAAATTCTCTAACAAATTCTTTATGATTTTGAAATCCAAATAAAATGTTCATTATGAATATGAGTTTTGGAGTTGTTTCTTCAATGTAAAACACACACCTCAATGACACCTGCCTTTGGGATGACTTTTGAAAGTCAGTGTGTCTAGCATGTTTTCTCACACAATTTACAATTTAAGGTTTTAGCAAGAAAGATATGCAATTTGACAACAAAAAAATATGAAAAATGTCTGGACCTTGTAAGTACCAAATGTAATTCCCTACACCACAAACCTTGTATAGGATTTCTTACACCACAAAACTTGTATAGGATTTCTTATTGTAATTCCCTACACCACAAACCTTGTATAGGATTTCTTATTGTTATTCCCTACACCACAAACCTTGTATAGGATTTCTTACACCACAAACCTTATATAGGATTTCTTATTATAATTACCTACACCACAAACCTTGTATAGGATTTCTTACACCACAAACCTTGTATAGGATTTCTTATTGTAATTCCCTACACCACAAACCTTGTATAGGATTTCTTACACCACAAACCTTGTATAGGATTTCTTATTATAATTACCTACACCACAAACCTTGTATAGGATTTCTTATTGTAATTCCCTACATCACAAAACTTGTATAGGATTACTTACACCACAAACCTTATATAGGATTTCTTACACCACAAAACTTGTATAGGATTTCTTATTGTAATTCGGCCTACATGACAAAACTTGTATAGGATTTCTTATTGTAATTCCCTACACCACAAACCTTGTATAGGATTTCTTACACCACAAAACTTGTATAGGATTTCTTATTGTAATTCGGCCTACATGACAAAACTTGTATAGGATTTCTTATTGTAATTCCCTACACCACAAACCTTGTTTAGGATTTCTTACACCACAAACCTTGTATATGATTTCTTATTGTAATTCCCTACATCACAAACTTTGTTTAGGATTTCTTGCACCACAAAACTTGTATAGGATTTCTTATTGTAATTCCCTACATCACAAACCTTGTATAGGATTTCTTGCACCACAAAACTTGTATAGGATTTCTTATTGTAATTCCCTACACCACAAACCTTGTATAGGATTTCTTATTATAATTACCTACACCACAAACCTTGTATAGGATTTCTTTTTGTAATTCCCTACACCACAAACCTTATATAGGATTTCTTATTATAATTACATACACCACAAAACTTGTATAGGATTTCTTATTATAATTACCTACACCACAAACCTTGTATAGGATTTCTTATTGTAATTCCCTACATCACAAAACTTGTATAGGATTTCTTACACCACAAACCTTATATAGGATTTCTTACACCACAAACCTTGTATAGGATTTCTTATTGTAATTCACTACACCACAAACCTTGTATAGGATTTTTTATTATAATTACCTACACCACAAACCTTGTATATGATTTCTTATTGTAATTCCCTACACCACAAACCTTGTATAGGATTTCTTATTGTAATTCCCTACACCACAAACCTTGTATAGGATTTCTTATTGTAATTCACTACAACACAAACCTTGTATATAGGATTTTTTATTGCATTTAAGCGAAATATTTTATTTTGTTCGGGCGGCATTATAACAAAACGTTGACATATACATCAAAAACTTGCAATTGATCATTGATAACACCAAAAGCTGGACTCACATTATTGGATGAAAATGATATCACAAACGTATTCGTTAAAATTTATACACATACAATTTGTATTTTGTGCAATAAAATGTTAGCCCAAAAGTAAATATATGCATATGCCATAATCTGATTCCGTGCAGTATCAAACATGATGATTTTAAAATCCTTATGACAACACCTATTTATTATTCATGACAAAGTTCGACTCACCAAAATAACCCTAACATTGTGATGATGTAAAGAAATATTCAGACTATTATCTGCGTAAAATTCTGACATGTCCTCTAAACCGATAAATGGAATGTGGGACATTTAGAACGTATGGTTGCAAGTAAATGCGGTAGTACGTATATTACAAATTTTGGAAGATGAAAATGTATACGCGAACAAGAAGACTTAGTCACCACCTCATAATTGTATCGTGTAATAAATAAGTTAAAATAATGATATTTGGGCATAAAAACAGATGATGACTGCTAATTTTCATCATGATGACAAATACTAGTAATACTTAAACGAAGTTCCAAAGTAGTAGGCTTGTGGATTCTATTTGGTTAGCATGTTTTTTCAATGGAAGTGTTTTTTTCGGTACATCTTTTGTTTGTCGGTTCTTGTTTCTTATGTTAGTTGGGAAATTTGATAACGCTTGGTATCTGAAATTATCTCAAGAAAAGCTGTTTCTACCAAACGAAAAAGAATGTAAAGATCAAAAACCTATTTGCCACTCCTGTCTTTGTGAAATTCTTTAGGATGATACATTGCCAGTACATATATTCTGATATATAGTAAAAGTTAATAAAATTGTGATTATGAACTTTACTAATCGTTTCAGGTGTAGAAACTTACAGGTTACTTAAGATATATGTTATTGACATCTGTTGCAGAGCACTTAAATGATTTAAGATTGAAACTGGCGGGAGATTTATAGACGTGTACTAAGTAAAGACTATTTTACATTAAGTTTGTAGACATATTTTAGTTATATCTAATATTAGTGTTTATATAATTTGAATACATCTCTAAAACTTATTATAAATATAGGTCTATGGTACTATATCTTCGTGCCTGTGTTTTCATTTCTTCTGTCTAGTTGATGACTGTCAGATTATTGTAAAGTGCCATAATGTATATCTTTTAATTCAACCTAATAATGAAAATGTGATCTATTAGAAAAAATGTGTTTCCACAGAAGATGATATTGTAGTTGTACTTTCCTTTCCAAATATATACTTGCTTTTAGTATCACTGGATTGATAACTCTGTTGGTGGACTGTTAGTCCCCGAGGGTATCATCAGCTCAGTCACCTGTGTTTCGATACTGACATGATTTATAACATACATTTCCCAAATATCCTGTTGACGAATAAGAAATTATTTAGAAACTAATGTTTCAACTCTTTCGTGCAAAGTTGACCTTAGATGAATTTGGCTATTCTTTTATTGTGTAAAGTTCCTAATGTAGCTACGTCCTTTTACATCCGTGGCTTTCAAATTACGTTTGAACTTTCCTGATGAATTCCAGAGGTAAAATAACACTTTGAAAGCATGGTATTTATAAAGTCTTATCTTCATTTGATTTATTTATGCATCTTTGGCTGTCATTTTATTTTTTTATTACTTCCAATGTAATGGAACTTCTCGCCTTGGCAATTAGTCCATCGAGGACATCAATCGCCAAGTACTCAATTTATTAGAATGTGCCATTATGTTTCAAAATGAAAATAATGAGATGTGGTATAATTGCCAATAGAACAGCTATCCACTAAAGACCTAAGGGGATATGAACAACTATATATATATACGTCACCATAAGGTCTTCCGCTATCAGTTAAAACCGTACCGCATAGTAAGCGATTAAAGGACACTAGAAACAATGTTTGAAATCCTTCAAAAGAGGAAACAAATAGTCTGCCTTTAAGAACAAAAATATACTTTTTTTTATAAATTCCAAGCTACAAAGCAAAAACGGACTCCCAACGCGACTTTAACTATGCTCGGTTGTGACTATCCCTTTTGGTTATAAGGCTTCTGTGTAAATCTGTGTACATCTTTGGTATATGGGAATAAGGGTTAAACGCAGCAAAATGGTACGTTTTATTTTTATTCACAATAAAACCACATATTTACACATCAAAATGTCAGATGTCAATATTTATAGCTGATCTGTTAATACATTAAATTTTTTGGAGCGAAAATTATCCGCAACTATTTAGTTTAAGAATTAACTGATGCAAATAAATAGTTTACAATGAAATGAAAAAGGAGGAACCCGAATTCTGAAGGTAATATGTCACAGGCTTGTCAGCATTATCGAAGTGAAGTGCAATTTTCATATTATTGAGAAAAAAAAAACACGCTGAATTGGAATGTCATTGGTTTAGCCATTTAAAAAAAAATTAAAACTATTCAATTCTTATATGTATGATGGCAGCTGTAATACGTATAGTTCTTCTGGTTGTTTTGATTTACTATGTAAGCAGTTTACCAAGTAAGTATTAATACCAAATCAAAAGATATAGCATTGGTGATTGAGTATAACTGTAAATATATATAACAGCAATCAGTTATAATAGAATATTTTGAAGGTAACATTTTGGAAATATAAGTTTTTAAGTGCTCAAGTTGCAAATCATTTTCAAAGTCAATTCATGAACTGGAAGAAGGTGAATAGTTTGACTTTATTGTTAGCTTAAAAAGTGTAAAACATTCAGACATAAAACTCCATTTGTTTTATAACGGGAATACTTGAAAAAGATGTTTGGCAAATTCTCATAAATAAATATTACTTAGGTTGAAAAGTTGATATTTCATCAATTCAAAAATATTTGCAATCGTTTAAAGTGTTTAAATACATACCACGACACAAATTTTTAAGAGCATATCATCTGTAGATTTGAATAGGCTGTTTGGTATTTCACGTAATATTGAATTATACAGTATTGAGAGATAATACTTAAGAAAAAATATTGAATTGAATCGAAAAAATCTTCGTACTTTATTTTTTTTTTCAATCGAGCGTCACTGATGAGTCTTCTGTAGACGAAACGCGCGTCTGGCGTACAAAATTATAATCCTGGTATCTCTGATGTTTTTTTAGAATTATAGTCATGTGTTTAAGCAATTGTTAAAAGACTTATGCTAAATCCACTGGTCGTGTGCTGATTGATATTTTAGTCTGGGAAACATGATTTATTCATCAGTTGTAAGTGGCTTTTAACTAGCTTTCAAATAAATGCTCGAATATGACATCACCAAATGAAACAGAATTGCAGATTTATACTGACATGAGCAACACATGAGCCTATAGATCAAGTAGGCCTAAATGTTTGCCGAAATTTTATTGTTCTTGGCCAAAAATTACTAAATTACAGTATTCATTTAAATC